GAGTCTCTGCCGGGGCTCGAGAGGGGGAGCTGCAGGGGCAGGAACCGCACTGGCCGGGGCTCGGAGGCAGGGACATTTATCCTGCCTGCCTGGGAGTCCCAGCGGGGTCGGAGCCAGCAGGGAGCCCTGGGCACAGAGCAGTTTCCAGCTCAGCTGCAGGCAGGGGCAGGCTGGGATCAGGGGATTTGTGTGTTTACATCAGTGATAGTCCTGACGGCTTCGCCCTCGCAAGCCCAAACGCCCAGGCTGCGTGTTCTGTGCAGGGAGCCGGCAGCCCCCACGCGCCCCCCTGGGATCACAAACCAATGGATCAATAAACTCAATTTTACAGAAATGGTCAAGTCTCAGAATCACTGCCATATTCTCACAGGGTATGTCTACACTACCCTCCTAGTTCGAACTAGGAGGGAAATGTAGGCATACCGCACTTGCAAATGAAGCCCGGGATTTGAATTTCCCCTCGGAGGCAGGGACATTTATCCTGCCTGCCTGGGAGTCCCAGCGGGGTCGGAGCCAGCAGGGAGCCCTGGGCACAGAGCAGTTTCCAGCTCAGCTGCAGGCAGGGGCAGGCTGGGATCAGGGGATTTGTGTGTTTACATCAGTGATAGTCCTGACGGCTTCGCCCTCGCAAGCCCAAACGCCCAGGCTGCGTGTTCTGTGCAGGGAGCCGGCAGCCCCCACGCGCCCCCCTGGGATCACAAACCAATGGATCAATAAACTCAATTTTACAGAAATGGTCAAGTCTCAGAATCACTGCCATACTCTCACAGAGACTTTGGAAGGTGGGGCCGGCAGTAAGGTTGTTACAGCAGGTACCAGCCTTGAACCACTGACCCTAGCTACAGAACCCTAGGGTTGGAGGAGACCTCAGGAGTTGTCTATTCCAACCCACCTGCTAAAAATATGCTCAAACCCAGTTTAGTCATAGCAGGCAGGTCTTTCAAAACATCCAGGCTACATCTAGACTGGCATGATTTTCCACAAATGCTTTTAACGGAAAAGTTTTTTTTTGCGGAAAAGAGCGTCTAGATTGGCATGGACGCTTTTCTGCAAAAGCTCTTTTTGTGGAAAAGCGTCCGTGGCCAATCTAGACGCGCTTTTCCGCAAAAAAAAGCCCCGATCACCATTTTCGCGATCGGGGCTTTTTTGCGGAAAACAAATCTGAGCTGTCTACA